AGAGAGAGAGAGAGAGAGAGAGAGAGAGAGATAATTCGATTCCAACAAGCTCAGTTCTGAGGGCACACCAAGCTGGCTCCAACTGTGTGTGTGTGTGAGTGTGTGTGAGTGTGTGTACCTTAGCATATCCATGAGGTGATGTGTGGGTGTTTGTGCTACACACTGGTCAGGAGGGAGGGTGCACGGAGGAATGGAGGCTGGTAGATAAATGTTGTGTGTCATGAGTAGTGGTGAAATGCAGCCTGTATTGTATGTGTGTGTGTGTGTGTGTGTGTGTGTGTGTGTGAAGGTATTTGTGTGTGGGCTGTGCACAGGTTAGTGTCTGACCTGTAGCCCATATGGTTTGCGATGTGCCTTGTTTTATCTTTTTTCATATCAATGGGAGGCCAGAGGGATTTCCGTTGTGTTGATATTATTTTTATTCTTCTCACATATTACAGTGACTGTAAATTCTGCCTCCTTGCTTATTTCCGGATAATGGACGCTTGGAGCAGATGCCTCATCTTTTCGCTGCATTTATCAGGCTTTATGAACATCTATGTTGATCCAGCAGCTCTGTGTTTTTAGCTCAAGGCTAACTTGTCCGGCCCATGGAAAGGCAGCTCTATCAGCATCCGCTCTCTGGTTTTTAGCTTGGCACAAACATGCTTTTGCCAGTATAATCACAAATGTACCCCAATCAAACTCTGTAATTAAGGAACACCAAGTGACTTTGTTGCCAGAGAGCGGAGACATAATTGGTCTTTGATTGGCCGGACACTGATTGACCCGGTGGATGACCTTGGTGTCTCAAAGAAGCAGACCGTTCAATCACGGAAGAGTCGGTCATGACCTCATTGGAAGGTTCTGAAAGATCAATCAGCCCGAGAGCTGCTGGTGAAATTGTTCCAGACGAGCTTTAGAGGGAAAAAAATAGATTGTGCTGTGAAACTGTAACGGATACCTTTTGAAAAAAAGAAGCACTCCCAGCAGTCACCAGTCTAGGGATGGAGAATATATACAGGAGGGATTCTGGGTGTTGTTTTGCATAACTGTTTGAAGAATCACTGTCTGCAGCTGTTTTCACTTGTCTATATTTGTGTCTATGTTGTATCCTACAAAATGGCAGTCTTAGTGGCAATCAGCTTCCCCCCAAGAGTGTCAGTCTGCCTCCTCTTCACGTCCCCCATGTCTTTTGTTCGACCGTCTTGTCAGTCCTTTTGTCACAGGATGTTAATATGGGCGTATCAGTCATCAGGTCCCATGCCCATACGCTCTGGGAAGTTCCAACACGAAAATGAATGACTGACACTGAAAGAGTAACATCTCTTCCTGCAATTCTGTTGCTATGGTTACTTGTTTTGTGCATTTGTAGAATAGATTTCATTTACCCAAAAAAGGCAAAGCCTGCAGGCACTTGATGGGCTTGACTGTATAATTTGTCAGTATGTAGCAGATCCCACTGGATATGCATCATGACTTGTATGCTCATAAGGTGAAAAAGGGAATATTAATGCACCTGAAGTCTTCAGATAGTTTAATCACAGCACAGAGCTGCTTTCCTGTTCAGTCCTCTGCAACAATTTCAAACCAAAGCCTCTCTCACCCACCACTTCATGCATTCTTTACACCTCCCCCCCCCCCCTCTTAGAGAAGGATCCAGGGCTGATTTGTAAGCGGGAGCTGCTCTTTTCCCTGCCTGACTGGCCGGCTGCCATAATAATTTAGCTCATAATGAGGTACAGCTCCAATTAATTACCACAGCAGCTGTATTTTGTTGTTGATCATACGTTTACATTTCTAACACTCAGGAAACCAAAAAGTTTCAGGCAGAGAGCATTCAGGAATTTTCACAACAAATGTGTTTTAAGAGTGTTAAGGAATAAACCTCTTATCTCATTTGTGTAGTGGAACCATCTGTTTAAGCTACAGATTGCGCTCTTCTGTGAATACATCGTGCCTTCTCACTACTCTCGGCGCTAATTAGTATCTGGAGGCAGTTCATGTACTGGAACGGTGCTCACAATCGGTTGGCTCAGGTAGATCCCCGAGACCTCAGGTAGAATCCCTCTGAGATCTTTTAGCAATGACACCAAACAGGTGTCTGCTTGAAGGGAACATATACAGTCCTCATCCAAGGCCCCTCTTTGTGTTTGTTCTCCGCTCATCGCTTTGTCTGACTGCAGGCTCTCACAGATACTCAGGACACTGGCAACCACATTTAGCACACTCAGTTTGCTTCGTGAATCGACTGGAAACCTTGGCATCCTTGCATTTTAATTAATTTCACACTGAATCTTCTTAAAGTGGTGATACACTAGTCATTTGTTGTTTTTTTTTTGTGGGTTTTTGACAAGTGTGAATGGGCAGAGATCCCAGTGAGAGGAAACAAAGTGAAACACGGCATCAAAAATCCAAGTTGCACAACAAGTCCACCTGTTACCCGCGATTATGTCCCTGTTTGGTGCAGCTAGTGTGCTTACAACACCCAGGCCTTATTCCCTTCATGTCCATTAATTTGCTTTTATGGAACTTTCTGCCACAATCTATTACGCAACAGTTTCCTCTGCCTCTTTCAAGATGTCCATTGTGATTGTGATAAGCCTCATGCTGGCCATTTTTATCTCTTCTTATCTAATAACATTGTTTGAATCAGCCTTTTGTTCATTAAAATGACAGTCTTTGATTGCTGCATTTCTCTCTTTTTGATCCTCTATCCTCTCACTGCTTCATTTCACCTCAGTGTAAATGGGGAGTATTGATTCCATCTCTATTTCTGTTCTCCGCTTTGTCTCTCTATTGTGTGGCCCGTCTCGCTGGTTCCCTGTAGCTTCTAAGATTCTGTCTGATAGTCTTGTTCTTGCTTACAGCGGCATTAAGCACACTATCATAAATCTATCATTTCATCCCACTCTTCCTCTCTCGTCCACTGAGATCATCGGCGGCTCGCAATGTCTCTCCCCCCTAGAAGCCATATCTGAATCTCAAACCTTCACATCCCAGCGGTGAAATAAGCTGCCCACCACTGGCTGCGTGCAATGCATCACCTCTTCCTATATTCTTCTCCTTAAATATATTTCATACTGACGTAATCTTTCATTCTTCATGCTCTAGTTTCTTGAAAAATCACAGACTTCAGGGGCACCGCAGACACAACCACCTTCATCATATAGCTGGAAATCAGCTGCCATGAAAAGAGGAGTTCAAACAGATCTACCCATCAAAGAGAAGTCTACTTGAAGGGGGGAAAAAAACAGTCAGTAATTATGATGTGAGATGAAAACACACACACACCTATCTGTGAGGCATCCTATGTGAATTTAGTGTCACCTTTCCTTGGATTTATTTTTCTTATGACACACAAAAAA